TCCAGCAAGGCAGGACCCGGCCAGCCCGCACAGCCACCTCACCAAACCTCCCACACCCCCAGGCCGTCCATCAGCTCTGCTGCACCCGTGGTGCTTTCCCAGCCCTTGGAAACCCCTCTGGAAGCAGCAGCCGCGGATCCTGCGGGGCGGGAGCGTCGCTGGGATTACCTGGGAGCTGCTGGAGCCTTCCTGGGGGTCCCACGTCCCCACTCCCGGGGGCCTCCGGTCAGAAAAATGGCAGATGCACGTGATAGTAGTCACATTTTTTATTTTAACTTTCCGGGGGGATAGGGGAGAAAGAGTATACACTTTTATTTGTACAATATTTAACAATCACTTTATTGAGGGCGAGGGGAGGGGAGGAGGGTTGGTTTGTTTTTAGGGCTTGCAGAAAAAACAGCAAGCGCCTTTTTGACAGTAGTACAACAACCTGTGCCCAAAACACTGACAAATACAAAGAGTAAAGTTAAAATAATTGCTTACCAAAATCTTGAGAGGTAACGAATAGTGTATGGACTGAAACGGCGTTAAAAAAATAAAATAAAAGGAGGAAAAAACCAACGACAAAAAGAAGTACTGCTGGTTGAGTATCTGAGGTAAATGATGTTCCATCAAGGATGCTACTTGAATCGTTCTGCCCACGAACATCTATTGCAGGTTTCTGCATTTTGTACCAAGTGTTCCTTGTAAATGTGTTAAAAAAAAGGTGGGGGGAAAAACCAAACAAAAAGGAGAATCTGGAAAAAGAGCAGCCTGGTAACTCTCCTCACTCTGCCCAACACCACGGGGCCGGGAGAAGCCTTCCTGCTGCCTGGCTGCTAGTGCCCAGAAAGGTGGTGGTGGGCACGACAGCGAGTTGTAAAGGCCAGGCAGGAGGTGGTGGGGTCAGTCCTGGCCGTGGCCTTCCAGGAGACCACCCCCACCCACAGCTCTGAGGCAGGGGCTCTGCTCTGGGACACCACAGGGCCCGTCGTCCCAAGGATGGACGTGACACAAACTTCTCACTGCCAACACAACCCAAAAAGTAACTTTCACCGCTACATTTCTGGCTGGGCCACGCAGGGGCTCATCGCCCAGCCCCGTGCTGCCCGACCTGGCACCCGGCTGGAAGCGTGGAGCAGGGTGGGCTGGTGGGCTGCTCCTCACTGCCCTGGGACAGGGTGACTCTGGAGCTGGCGCCCACGTGCTGGGCACTACACCAAAATATCAGCCTGAGCATGAGGAGCCTGCCCTCGCTGGCAGCACCGAGCACCGGCACGAGGGGACCTTCCAAAGCGTTCTAGGGACCTATCACCTCTGCCAGAGCAGCCCCAGGGGGAGTGTATTTACCAATTAAAAGCATTTCTGCTCCACACATCCTGTTTCACAGTGGCACTAAGCAAGATGTTAAAAAGGGGGCAAGGTCTGATGGCAGCTTTAGGACCCCAGGAGCAGTTCTCTCGGATCCCCTGCCGCTCTGCCGCGAGGACGGGCCGTGAGCTTGGACACACCCACCATCCACTTTACACAGGACCCATCTTTGCATCAGCTCTTCAATAACAGGCTACAAACCCATCTGTATTTACTGGATTTTTGCTACTAAAGGGGGTGAAATTCATTGGGGGCACAGAGGCCTTCAGTGAAGTACCGATGGGTTCTTATTTGTTCACAACTCAGCAGCTACGTGTGGAAAGTCACGTCCCTGGATTAAGGACGGAAGCAGAAGGGAAGGGTCAGAGAAGTGCCCACAAAGATTTCTCTCCTTTCACAGCCAAGCTGAAGCCCATCAACGACACTTCAGGGCAGGGTTCACCTGGCTACCTGCAAGCTGGCAGCCTCATGAGGACCAGCACCGGGCACACTGGACACGAGCAGCACCCGCCTGGCTCTGCCTGCCTCCAGCGCGCTGCCCTAGGGCTGCTCTACCTGCGAGGCCTCTGATTGCTCCTGGAGATGCAGAGCTGAGTGTCTCCTGGCTGTGCAGATCCGTTTTCAAGGTAAGGTTCAGAGCGAGCCCCTGTCTGCACCACCGAAAGCTTCTTCAGAAAGAGAGTGAACGTGGGGGGTCAAAGCACGGGACACGAGGACAGAGCGTTGCCGGCTCGGTGCCCCGGCGGGCTGGAGAACTTCATTTCCTTGGAAGTCTGGGTGGGGATCAAACGAAGGTGGTGAAGCAGCACTTCCCAGAAGCACTTTGGCACCTCTCTGCGGGGCGCTGGGCGAGGGGCCTGACAGGCAAGACGTCCTGCACATGGGTGTGGGAGCTGTGGCAGCCACCTCGACGTCTCTCCTGGCCAGCCTGTGCTAGGGGCGCTGGTGCCCGTTACCTCCAGCCGTCGCTGCGCAGCTCTAACTGAATCCTCCCTGACATCTGTCAGCGTTGGTGGCCTGGAGCCTGGGGCAGACCCTTCCCCACGCTCCCGGGGTGGCTCTGAGGAGCTGGCACCGGGCTGGGAGCGGGGTGAGAGGAGGGAACGGGGGCACTGAGCTTCCTGAGGTGCCCCTGGGGCAGCGCCGCAGGACCCTCTGCGCGCCGCGGAGCGGGACCCAACACGCGCTAGGCAAAGACCTCTTCACAAACATAAATAGGAAAAAAAAAAAGACTTTTTTAAAAAAGAACAAGAGTTCAGAGCTTTCCAGTGTCATAGCTCGCAGAAAATTTAAAAAAAAAAAAAGTCATGCTTAAGTTTTCAAATATTCCTCAGACACAGCAAACCTAAATAGTATTCAGTTAAATAAACGTATGAGATACTCTGGGAAATGGAGGGAAGAGGAAAGCTTCAAACTAAAAGAGGAAGGGAAATTCTGTTTCAATAAACAGCACTTTTTTTTTTTTCTTTTTATACACAACAAGCTAGTACAAGAAAAGGCTAAAAACACTGCTTTAGGAATGGCCATTTACTGTTGGCATGAAGCGTAGCTTACCCTTCTTAAATAACAGTGGAGTTGAAGTACACCATTTACAAACACGGATCGACTCGGCATCCCAAGCCCGTTAGTGTTGTCAGGCGGCCGGCGGGTCAGCGGCGGGGGGACTGGAGGACTTC